ACAGGTCAAAATATGACCGGTCACTTTTATCAATCACCAAATGAGGTTAACTCTTCGATTGGGACGGGTCAAAAGTTGACCGGTCACTTCCACTAAAAAAGTGACCGGTCACATTTTGGGCGATAGCCAAAATGTCGCCTAATGTTACAAAGGACATTCTAGAAGACCAGAGACGGGCTGAGCACAAAGAATGACCGGGTAACTTTTGAGAGAAGGTGACCGGTCATATCACTTTACTTGGCTAACATTGGTTCAGTCTCTTAGGCATGGTGAACCACGTCAGAGCGCAAGGGGACACCCCGCCGCTCATCCATCACGAGGCACACAGTGAAAGGGATGTTTGTCATTTTGCAGGGTTGATTGGATTGAGAATATCCATTTTAGTCTTTGATTGAACAGTACATGTCTTGGCCTATAGTTGCTAAATTCTATGATTGTACAGTGTTCCCATTATCTACAGTGACCTTCCCACGAGCTTCCTATTTTGTCCATGGATGAACAGGGGAAGGTCACAAATCCTCCTCTATAAATATGATGATATTGGATAGAGGAGGGGATCCAATTTTTCTCTCACTAAAGTTCACTCTTGAGATAGAGTAAGAAATATAATTCGGACTGAGGAGATTTACCCGGTCTAGGTCATTCTTTGTGTTCTTGTTGTGTGTTTTATATTACGGGTCGAGTGTGTCCAGGTCAAACCCGGTTAACCCACCCCGCTATATTTACACCATCAGATGAAGACGAGAGAGAGTCTTAAAGAATGTATTCTAATAAAAGACGATTATGCGAGAAATCCCACACGACTATAAGATCATAGATTTGTGATTAGGGTCATGCATTGAAAGTATTTCCAATGTCGCATTCTTAGAGAGTATGTACAATTGGCTGATAACGGATACTCCCTCCTTCCCGAATTGGATGTCAATTTCGCTATTACAGTTTCTCGATAACTTTTGTTTGTTTGTATATTTTCATTGATAATTTGATAAAATAAAATATTCTTTACACGTCATTTTTCGTTTACTTTTAAATAATATAATTTATACTTTTTTTCTGTACAAATTTATATTTAAAATAACTTTAAAAATAATAGATTGTGCACATTATTTAGAGTGTGACATTCAATATGGAATGAAGGGGGTATAAAAAGTGATTTAAGACATTGAAGGAATTATTAAAAAAAAGAAGTTTAAGTGCCCAAAAATAAATTGAAAAAAATAAACATCATAGCCAACCCACATTTTGAAAAAGAAAAAAAAAACATGCATCATGGTCATCATGAATACCCTCCCACATATGCATATCCGACATCCAACTCCACCATCTCTTGTCTCCTTTCTCTGTACCCTCACAAACGGAAACCCTCTCATATATCAATCAAAACCCTCTCTTTTTCCTTTCCCCTTCCGTCCCTATGTTCCCATTTTATTCCCTCTCCTTCCCCTTCTTCTTCTTCTTCTCCTTCATCGTTCACATTTTATCTATCCATACACACACACACACAGGTTTCTTTGGATTTTGATGGCATGAAACCCTAGCTAGCTAGCTCCCCTCCAATGGACAATCCTTATCCCGAACTAGGGAGCTTGGTCCCCGCCGCCGAATCTTCCTCTTCGGCGGCGGCGCAGGAGGTTTCCGGGTCGTCATCCTCGTCCTCGTCGTCGAGCCGGTACGAGAACCAGAAACGCCGGGACTGGAACACGTTCGGCCAGTACCTGAGGAACCACAGGCCCCCGCTCGCCCTGTCCAGGTGCAGCGGGGCCCACGTGCTCGAGTTCCTCAGGTACCTCGACCAGTTCGGGAAGACCAAGGTCCACACCCCCGTGTGCCCGTTCTTCGGCCACCCCAACCCTCCGGCCCCCTGCCCCTGCCCCCTCCGCCAGGCCTGGGGCAGCCTCGATGCGCTCATCGGCAGGCTCAGGGCCGCGTACGAGGAAAACGGCGGGAAGCCGGAGACCAACCCTTTCGGAGCTAGAGCCGTGCGGCTCTACCTCCGAGAGGTTCGCGATCTCCAGTCGAAAGCCAGGGGGATCAGCTACGAGAAGAAGAAGCGAAAACGCCCCCCGCAGCATCCGCCCCCGCCGCCTCCACCGCAGCAATCCATGTCGGCTCCTCCGTCGCCGTGAACTTCCCCGGGGCCGCGGCCGGCGAGATGATGATGATCATATGAAACACCATCTTCGTGTCGGAACAAATTTCTACTGTATGTTTGTTTGTTTTTTCCTATTGATTAGCTATCAATCTTTATCATATATCGTCTCATAATAATAATTGTAGTTTGTACGTAATGGCATTATTGGACAGATCCGACTGTAGTAGCTTACAATATAATTAGCATGTCCTCCTCATAATTAATTACGCCCTCACCCCGGAATAATTAATCTTTCTCATCACTTTATTAATTATTCAAAGATGGATCACTTTTTTTTCTTTCTATTAAAATTATTTTCATCAATCATTCATTAAAATAATACTCAAATCCGTATAATTATACAGAGTTATGTCTTTTGTTTTAGAAAGAACTTATTATGTGGTTTCTAAAATCTGAAATTTGCACTAAATAGGACTAAAACATAATAACTTTCTTAATGTAGGACTTAAACTTTTTTATTCTCTAAATAAGACTTAATAATGACCTAGTGGAATTAATAATGTCCAGTAATGATGAACATTTAGTTGAATAATGACTACTTGATAATGACTAAAGGTCCTACATTGCGAAATAAAAACATATGATCCTATATTGTGAAAGTCATTATGTTTTAGTCCTATTTAGGTAAATTTCTCAAATCTGAAATACATACGAGTAACTTTTAGGTCCCGTTTGACATCCACGATACGGGTTACTATTTTGAAAAAAGTTATCTGAGGTTAACGTTTTCAGAATTGAACGGTAGTCAAAAACGTTGTTCCCAAAGAAGGCTTTACTCATCTTCAAAGTCTGTAAAACTATTTAATTAAATAGGATTGGAAATTAATACAATCAAGAATTATTATCTGCTAAGTGACAATTAATTTGGAAGAGAGGTGTAGGGTATTTGAGTTTAATTGATCAAGGTTCACTGAACTATTACTCCCTATGTCCCAAAATATTTGTAACATTTGCTTTTTCGGCAGTCGCGGGAATTTTTGTTTATTTCTACGTTTTCATTGGTTATTTGATAAAATAAAATATTTTTGACACCTCTTATTTCGAAGAATTTTTCATGTAGTTTTTTGATATGCAAATTTTAATTTTTATTTCTATACCAATATATAAATAAAATGAATTGAAACAACTTGATATTTTACCTCGAGAATACAAGTGTGGAAAATATTTATGGACGGAGGGAGTATAAAATATTTATAACAGTATCACAAGGTGTAGATTAATTTTGGGAACATGGTTTTTAATGAAAAATATTGTTTTGTGCAATTTTTTAACTGCACAAATTAATACAGAAAAAGATAAAAATAAACATTGTCATTACATAATATTTTTAAAGCGTTGAAATTAACTCTAATGCTATTGGGCTTGTTTGAGAATAGGGTTATAGTAATCACCCTAAATAGGACTAAAACATAGAAAGAAGTACCAAAATAGGAGTTCCATGTTTTTATTTCTGAAATAAAACTTCGCACTGTGGTAATGTGGTTATAATGTGACATTGTATATGTGCACATTACTATACTTTTTGGTAATGTACATGACCATATTTGGTAATTTAATTGCATTTTAACTCCTATTTCGAGATTAAAAACATCGAAGTTCTATTTTAGTATATTTTCAATGTTTTACTCATACTTTAGTCTTTTTCCCTTAGCGTTAGCGTTTTGGATAAAATTTTAACGGCGCAGGTTACTTTGAAAACGCTAAACGGTGTTCGTCAATAGTCTTTTCAAATTAAACGCTAACGTTAATCGCTAACGTTATTCTCAAATAGATCCATTGTCAACTGAAGACCTTTTTTTTAAAATTTCTGGTTCTTGTACGGATACAATAGTTTACTTTTTTGGGTGATCCGAGTAGCAGGGGTCTGCAAGATATTTCATTTCTTGCAGCTTTAATTCATTCTTGAAATATATCTTGAATTGGACTTATAAGTATGGAGTTTTTTTGTTTGGGTTCATGCAATCATAGTGTCTCAGCTATTAGAATAAATTTCCACAATAAGTTCCTATAAGAAATATACGGAGTACGGAGTAATTTTTTTTTCCATTTGTTTTATTGGGGATTCATGCAAATGATGCAATCATGCATATTAATACTCCGTATTAGCAGAGGGCTTGACGAGGCCATTTCGACAACTGAACTAAAGATTAACGGGCAACTAAGTATAAACGTTTAGATGAATTCTTTAACAAATGAGGTGGGCTAAAACTGACTTTAGTACCACAATAAAATTTTGAATGGGGAAAGAGTTGCATAAGACACTCGGTTGAACCGCGTTAAAAGATTAAATTTAATCTATAATAACTTAGTTTAACTCAAGAATTTATATACTCATTATTTTCTTTCCACTTTTCTGATGTGAGATATTCTTTTATTGTATATTTGTGGTACTATATGAAAAAAAACATGAACACAACTATAAAACCAAGTTGTCCGAGCGTTTGATATATTGATCATCTCCACCCCAAAATAGATTCGGATAATTTTTTGGTTGTTTCAAAATATAAACTTCAAACGGTTACTACTAATTAATAAAAGTGAAATTAATAAAACTTGTTACTCATAATATTTCTCCCACTACTAATTAATTAAATTTCAATCACTTTTTTTTAGGAGTAATACACTTTTTTAAATTTGTAATGTTAAACACCTAATTTATTTTGCAATGTAGCAAGTATAAGACGATTAATTATTCAAAAATTGAAAATATAGTTGACTATAAAAAATCAAAACTAGATAAATATTGAAAGATGAATGAGGTAGTACTTCCTCCGTCCCAAATTATAATGCATGTTTACTATTCACAGAGTCAAACTTCATTCACTTTCTTTCTCTATTTTCGTTAATAATTTGATAAAATAAAATATTATTGTCACTACTAGTTTTGTAGATCTTTTGATGTAGTTTTTTTAATACGGAGTATGTAATTTTTATTTTTTAATTATATATCATTTGTCCTATAAAATACTTTGAAAATAATTTCAGTCAAACATCGTAAACCGAAACAGGCATTATAAATTGGGACGGAGGTAGTATCATTTATAGAGTTGCAAACGTGTACCTCCAACCTTTTTTCTTTAACTTCAATTCACTAATTTAATACCCTCCGTTCCGCAAAAAAATATCTCCTTTCTTTTTTCTCCGTTCCAAAAAACATCTCCGTTACTTTTACTCCCTCCGTCACTTTTACCCCTACTAATTTGTAACCTACCTATCACATCACACTTTTTCTCTATTAATCTATCCATCTCATCCTACGTTATCCATCACATCAAACGACATTTTTTGGAAAGTCAACACCAAAATACACCCCCCCTTAAATCTCCAAAAAGTCAAACGGGAACTTTTTTAAGGGACGGCGGGAGTACAAATTTTTCCACTAAAATTCAAAAATAATACTATGCACGAAGTATTCTCTCTGTCCCAATTTAAACTATGCTTTACTATTTACAAGATTATTTAAACTTTATTCATTTGTTTAACAATTTTTGTTAGTTATTCTCTCCTTCCATTAATTTCTTTCTCACTTTTCTTTATGTCCCGTCCAAAAATTTATTTTCCGTTTTCTATTTTAGCAACAAAATTTTAGTAAATGTGTCACTATACCTAAGTTTTTATCTACATTATTTATTTTATTTCATCACATCAAGGACAAACATAGAAAGTTTTTACACTTTTTAATTTTTTGTTAATCTTCGTGCCAAGTTAAATTGAGAAAGATATTTTTAAATGAAGGGAGTATTTGATAAAAAAAAATAGTCATGTCACTACTTGTTTTGAGAGTTTTTGATATTATTCTTAAATATATAAATTTTTTTAATTCTATCCCAAATCTCAAATAAAAAAAATTTGAGAATAGTTTTAATCTAGCATCATAAACTGAAATAGACATTTCAAAATGAGACTAAAACATTGAAAATATATCAAAATAGGACTTTCGTGTTTTTATTCTCGAAATAGGACTTAAAATGCATTTACATTATCAAACATGGTCATTACATTACCAAAAAGTATAGTAATGTGCACATGTACAATACTTCATTACTATCACTTTACCACAGTGCGAAATCCTATTTCGAGAATAAAAATATGAAAATTCTATTTTGGTAACTTTTTTCTATGTTTTATTATTATTTAGGATAATTTCTAAAAAGAAAATAAGATAATTAATTGAAGACAGCAGGACTTCGGTTCAGGGTTTTCATAATGTGTGCAACGAGCCCCCTCATTTTTGTGAGAGGTTGTTCCTACTTCCTACATTGCTGATAGTGAGACTTAAAATTTAGTTTTTCATTCCAAATTTGATCTTTGAGATCAGTTTAACTACCCATTCACACTACTTCAGGATTTTCCAACAAGAACCATGCATGCATGACTAGTGGATGGAATGTCAAATTTTTTTAATTTGAAAACAAATCTCACTCTCCATTTATCAACCAAACTAAGGGGAAAATGCTCCACAACTCCTTATGGTTTCATTAAGGAGCTCCAACACTCCTCGTGGTTTTAAAAGTAATTTATAAAATACCTCTGGTTTGTAAAGGGTGCACATGCACCCCATCTAATGAGAATTGGCTATTATTCGATACGCACCCGATCCGTGTAGTGTCACCGTGGATCATTTGATTCCTAATGTTTTTTTAATCCAATCCTACATCAACGCTTATCCGGACATCATAATGCCGCTTTCCGATGAGGCCGAATGGCCTATTCTAGGATACGAGATAGTGAGACCAACTGCACGAGCAAGGACACAAACCAATCAACCTACAAGAACTCGTTATCCGAATAACATGGACTACCGACCATGGCGACGCCACAATGAACAATAGTTATATCATGAGTTTCAATTATGTCTAAGTTTATGTTTTATGAATTTTACAAAATAAATTAGTTATGACATGTGTTTTGTAACCTTATTTTTATGAATGAATAAATTATATATACTCTATCAATAAATTTGTTGTGATTTACTTCTTATTTTAATTTTGGTGTATGTTGCATTATTTAAAATCAATAAATAATTATTTTATTTATGAATTTTACTCTTAGTAGATTGTTTGTTTCATTATATGTAATTAATTTGATAGTTTTTATAATATTTTTTTGTAATTCAATTATGAGAAATAGAGAAAAAAATTGATTTAAAAAAATAATAGAGGAACGAAGTTTAGAAATTAAGAAAAAAATTG